GGCGGGTCTGTGTTGAAACGATGCTGTCAATCGTTTTATTGACGTCACAAAAACGAACGGCTCCATTTGAGGCAGGGGAAAACAGGAGATTAAAACAAAAACACCGGATGGATTTTTATTATTATATGATGGTTGTGTACAGGTAGCCTGGTTCTACCAGACTCTCGTACATTTCATTTGTACAGAGAGTCTGGCCTCGCTCCATTGAGAAACGTTTACTTCCTTGTAGGCGGGTTCTCTGTTAAAGTTCAAAACTATTGGATCTGCCCATCGTCACTCAGGATCTGCCATAGCCAATCGCTAACGTGTGGTCGTGACGTATGTCATGCGCCGAAAAACCGGCTGGAAACAACAAGTCCGAATTCCATATTCATAAATCTAAATATCTAAATGCTAAACCTCTCTTTCTTATATTTGTGAAAGAATTTTAAAAATACCTCTTTTCAATTAAGTTGTCTGAGAACAAAAAAAGCCTTAAAAACATTATCTGTTTGTAATTATTTTCCTTTTTTCAGTGTCATGTAATTCTCTTAACTTGTTCATGTTTATTTTATATTATCCCCCTACTGTTTTATTTTTGTTTTGTTTTTATTATTATTTTTTGTTTGTTTTTGTATTATGTTTTCTGTTATTACTTGTGTATTGTTTTAAGCAATAAAAAAAAACAAGTCCGAATGATCAGAGGATTATGTTTAGAATAAGATGTCTGTCAACGAGAGCTGCATGTTTTGTTCATCGAATTTAAGAGTTCAAGGAACAATTCTAAATTCTAAATGTATATTTGAGACTAAGGACAGTGATGTATTCAGTCAACCGTCGAAGCTGGGTGTAATCATTAACAATACGCCGCTGCGGTCGTTTCGGATCTGCCGCAAATGCTGTACAGTGATCATCGTGCACGCCGAGCTGCCCAGCACCAACTCCTAACCTTTCTGCCTCCCTCACTTGGTCCTCCATTAGTGCAACAAGAGGAGACGACAACAACTATCGGCTTTGCATCCTATCGTTCGCCTTAGCTAACTCATTCACCTCTAGCGGAGTGAGCTGGAAAATTAAACTTTTCCCGAACCCCGTGGGGAGGAGGGCCACAACATCATGGCCACCAACAACACTTAGCAAACATTGATCTTGCTCCGGCTTTAACTTCTGGATATTCGGCAGTTTTGCAACAACGGACCGAATAGATTTTCTCACGTCTTTCTCAGCTGCCATTACTGAACTCCAACTCAAACTGACGCGCTCCATCAACGTCATCGTTCTCAGCCACTCCCTCTGTTCGCTGATTGGAGCGGTAAAAAAATTATTTCTGGAAACCAAAGTCTACAGCACAATCCCAGACGTAGTACTGAAGGAAAATAAAATTGAGCGGAAGTGCGTAGGAGGGCGGAGCCAGGCTAGTGTACAGGCACTGCCAACACACATTTCAGTACAATCAACTTGAAAAAGTGCATGTATCATTATATGACCCCTTTAAGCTAGAATTGCTTAACCTGAAAGTCTCTCAAATGCAGGTTCAGCCCAGAAAGTAAATCAGAGGTTAACCAGTATGCTTTCATGCCTTTTGGACTCGGGCCTCGAAATTGCATTGGAATGATATTTGCCCTAATGATCATGAAACTTCTTGTTGTGAAGCTTCTTCAGAACTTCACTGTGGAAACAAGTAAAGAGACACAGGTTGGTACATTGACTGTCATTATTTAGAGTTTGTATACATGAGGAATGTCAGACAGACTGTTTTTTTTCTTCTTGAATTAATTAATCTTTTTCTCTTTTTTCCAGATCCCTCTAGAGCTGAATTTTGTTTTTCAGCCGAAGGTTCCCGTCACACTGAAGTTCATACTAAGATCTCACAAGGGAAAAAAACATATTATCATAACATCAGAATTATTTTACCACATAAAATGTGCCCATGAGAGAAATACTTTTTGTGAAAATGGGCATTTTGCTGTTCATTGCACCCAGAAAGCCCATAATACTGAATCCAGTGTCTTGAATTTCAGTTGGAAATGAAGACTAAACAGGAAGAGATTGTTTGTTTTCTTGCCACTTACAGCCTCAGTTGAGCGGCCATGCCCTGGAAAACCACAAAACAACCTAAAAACAACCTTAGCATTGGCAGTTATTTTGCCAAAATGGAGTATACATTTAATTACACTAACCATAATCTATTCATATTGATGTTCTTTTTTAGATTTCTGGCTACTTTTAACATTTTAACTAAGACTAACACACTATTTAAATTTACTGTTATAAAAATGAAATTGATTTGATTAGATCTAATATATAATTTTGTTAGATAATACACATATAATGTTTTAGCTGATGTTGTATCCCTGAATATTTTCAGTTGACCTCAGCACTGAATTTGATGTAAGCAGCTGTAATTACAATTTACATTAAAGCCTTCTTCCTCATTTCATCTTTACAAATGTTCTTCTCTTTCTATGACCGTGAGAAGTTGCATGTGCAACATTGGGTAAGCTAAAATGCGTTTTCAGCGTTGTTGGGAAGATATTATAGGGTCAAGACCTTTGTTGCAAGAACATGGTTTCATTTTTGAGAAATCCGGAAATCCTTTCCCTCTTCCTCCTGACTCATCTTCCAACAAACTGAATTTTTGGTTTTGACCTAGAAATTCTCAAACCATTGCCTGATCTTAATCAAAACATTAAAGAATCCCATTAAAATGACAAAGACAGGAAAAGAATATTGTTAAAGGTTTTGGTAAGCTCATCCAGACGGCCAGGCAGGCCAAGTTTATAAAGTCCTTGTAGGATTTTGAAAACATTACATCAGTTTATGACACATAGCTCTCTATGGAATTCTTGATTCTTACAGGCCAATTTATACCCTAATATATATATATATATATATATATATATATATATATATATATATATATATATATATATATATATATATATATATATATATACATACATATATATATATATATATATATATATATATATATATATATATATATACCCTGCTAATTAATTATATAGGGCTATTATAACCCAGCTGTAGATTTACCCATATTTAGTCAGTGAGATATTTTATCAATTTCATAAAAGGATAAAATTATCAAGAGATTAAGATTTAATGTCTGCATTCAATGATTGGAACACAGTTAAATACAGTAAGTACAGAAAAGTTTGTGAACAAGAAATAAGACATTAGAAAATGAAATGAATTGTAAACTACATTGTAGATTTAAATTAATAGGTTGTATTAGATGTTGGCCATTGACATTTTATTTAATCAATTAAAATTATTAAATTCCTCAACATTTTAATGGTGTGCAACATTTTTTTCAGCTTTATTTTTGTGGTTAGAGTACAACTGTCTGCACTAGTGAAGACAGACACCTTGTGTTGGCAAGTGAAACTGCGCATAGTTTCAACCTTTTTTACTGTTCTCACCATAGACTGCTTGGTTCTCACGTGTATGTACATCCATAGATATACATAATAAAGATAGATATACCTTTATTATGTACATCTATGTGTACATCCATGTACAATCTTCTTCTCTGGTAATGACATACATGCTAAGCACACTGCTGCCATCTGTAGACCACAGTTTGCAGTAAACTGATGGTAAATATTTTTTAATTGCTTGAAAGAACATACAAATACAAAACAAGCCTCAATTGGACAAAGCTTAATACAGTTCCAAGAAGTCCAAATAGCAGCAAAACAATGAATAAATAAACAAAGCAACATTCAAAAGAAAAAGAAACAAATATGCTAATAAAATATCACATTAGGGGGTTAATCATTAGAAATACATTTAAAAGATTACAGTTAAAGGGTTTTTTTTTTGTTACGCATGAGTTTTAAAAGATTTGAAGAACATCATTAAATCTTTCTGGAAAAGTGAGTGTGGGAGATTTTTTTGGGAGTATTATCTGCATTTATGTATGAAATAATTGGCCAAATTATTCAGAATAAAATACAATATTTATAGTTTTAAAATCTAAGTCAGGTATTACATATATACAAACATAAAGGTCAACAGATTTTTTTTTTTAATTTGCAAAAATAAAATAAATGTTTCAATGACTCAACATCTGCTTCACAAAAGGTGCACTCATTACAATCCAAATGAAATATGTGTCTGAGGAACTCATTACAAGGATACATATTGTCAATCATTTTAAACTGAACATTTTACCTTGGGAAGAAGTGAAAAAAGGAGAGAAATCTTGTTCTAATTCGAACCACTTTCTCTTTAGGAAAACCAAAAACAAGGGATCTATTTCTAACTTTAGAAGTGGAAGCCTGTGTATAATTACAAATGTTATTAAAACCTTTTTCTTACAGCTCTCCTCCGTAAAATGAAGACCAGAAATTACAGATATTTTACTTTAACCAACTGAACCAAACAAGCAGGGCTTTTAGATTTTAACAAAGACACATATAATTTCCGAGTAGCTACACGTGATATATGCCTATTGTATTTTCCACAAAAAAAATCATCATAACTAAAGAAATTTCCTTCTCCATCCATAATGTGTACAACCAGACACCTTTATTCATCCAGGCCTGAAAGAACACATATTTCCTATGAATGTATTTTAAAATTAATTAGAACGTGTCCTTGCGAAAGTCCATCATCCGGGGTTTTCCTCTGCCTTGTTCTTTCTCTGTTTATAAACAGAAAGAGCGCAGAATGGTCGATGCGCCGTGACGTCACTTCTCCAACCACGTCACATTATTTTGACCGTTCTAAATGTTTTTCATATCGAACGAGAAGTACTACAGATCAAAACCCACGTGTATTTAGTTACAATACGAGCAACCGCGCTTGCAATTGACATCAAATCATCTTATTTTTGTATTGCCGCATGTAACGCACGTGTCGTCCGGTTCCAGGAACTGAAACAATATTAACCTTTAATTTGCCAGAGAGCTTAGTGTGAGACCTCGGGAAATTGTCGAGAAAAAAAAGAAACATCACAGATAACAATTACGAGAAATATCAAGAATATCGCATTATTTCGCACTAACTGTTTTAAAACGAGTGAAGTGTAGACGAGTGATTAAAGCGCACCACGCTCCCGTCCAATAATCCATGACGTGTTTTCCACGCGCCATCTCCATGTTTTGACTACCACCACCAACAGCAACACAGTGAACCCTACCAACACATAGCCGTTGCGCTTGCAATCCCCTCTGTGTTTTTCAACAAAATGGCTGATTTTGGGGATGATACCGGAGCGAGAGCCCTGCTTGCCCTCAAATCTGCTCCTTGTAGCCCGGTGGCTATTTCTATCCCGCCCGTGTACACTTTCTCCTCCTCGACTTCGCCCGGGATCATATCATCCATGCCCCTCTCCCCTCCGTCGCAGGCCCTCGCTCGCCTGGAAGGCAGGGACTTCGAGTTCGTCATGCGCCAGAAGACGGTGACCGTGGGGCGGAATTCGTCGCACGGCTCCGTGGATGTCAACATGGGCCACTCGAGCTTCATATCCAGGAGACATTTGCAGATCACCTTCGAGGAGCCGCATTTCTACTTGCGCTGTCTCGGCAAGAACGGTGTGTTTGTCGACGGCGTTTTCCAGAGGAGAGGCGCACCTCCACTTCTCCTACCGAGGGAGTAAGTTACTAAAATGAGATCTGTTTCCTTCAATTAGCCAGATGGCAAGCACCCATTCACCCAGAGAGCTAATGCACTACACATACAAGAGATTAAATGAACGTGCTTAATGCAGTGCCTGCATAATCCAACATGCAAGTGCAGCCACGAGAGCTGTCAGAAACTGACTTCAAGATCGTTTCAGTGTCTTTAATGTACAAATTGGAAGGGGAAAAATGAAACTTTAAATGTTATTTCCAGCTTCGAACTTTTTTGGGCCCTGCATAATCTTGACAGTGTATTAATCTGCTATTGTTGAAGTAAATCAACCAGTTAAAGGGATAGTTCACCCAAAATAATCATTTACTCACCCTCATGTTGTTTTAAACTTAACGTTATTTGACTATTTACTCAGTGGAAGGAAATTGTGCATTTTTTAGCCATAGAATGAAAGTAAATGTAACCATATCCATTTGTGTTCCATTGGGAAATGCAAGTTTGAAATAACATGAGGGTGTGTAAAAAATAACAGATTTATTTTTTTTATTTTTTGGGGTCAAGTAACCATTTACGCCCAAGGTCTGTGGACCTGTCAATGGATCTTGATTCAAAAAGGGTACATCTTTATAGTATAAATTTACTGACCCTTAAGTGTTTGTTTTGAGGTTGCCGCTGAAGATGGGTTAAAATATAAACATGAAAAGTTAAACGTTTCACTTTACGACCACAGGAACGGTGTGCACGACAGAGACTGGATCCACCACATGATTTTTGTGGGCAGATGTGAAATACAGGCTGCATTTATGACACATATCAGTAGTAACCACTTTATAATCTTTAGCAGACAAAGAACAGAGGGAAAAACCTAGTGATACTATAATGTAGTACCTTGAACAACAACATTTGAGTAGTAACTTGACATGGATTATACACAATTGTCGTCTTTGTTTTGATTGGTTTGAAGTGTAAACTATTACAGTTCTCGATACAAAGCGCTTTTGATAAGTTTTCGAATGATTGAGCTTTCAATTTTCAATTCGTTTTTACATTATTTGAATTTGTATTTAAACTTGTACTTTCAACTTTACATTTACGCTGTGAAAAGTGTTTTAATGACCCATTCTAAACAAAAAAATTTAAAAGAGCTGTTACTTTTCCCATGATTTAGTTGTTCTGCTTACACTAAGTTATTTATCTCTGTAACAATCACAAATCAGTTAGTGGTTGATGATCCTGCTGCATTAGATGTCTCTGATAAAGTGTGCCACAAGTAAACCGGTTACAGTATCTGTAATCAGAGTTAATCAGTATGAAAGCAGTTTTTAGCCTTAAATGTAAACACTAATGATTGAGAAGTGGATAAACTAGTTAACTAGATCAGACTGAAGGTCCCTACATGGCTGTGCTACTGTTAGGCTCTTTGTCTCTCTCAGATTTTATTAAAAGCACTATTTGGCTTCTTCATTCTTATCAGAATTGCTTTTACTGTCTCGGTGTGCGCCATCTGTCTTATCAATGCGGAATACATCTGTGGAGCTTGTTGTCATGGAGGTCAGAGCGGCTATTCCTGCAGACTGCTGTGAAAACACGGACAGACTGAACCTGTAATGGGTGCATGCTAAGCCAGCGATTCAAAACAACTGCAGTGTGTATGCTGTAGCATTAAAAGTGGCTTCCTGGTGCAGCACTTGTGTAAATACGTCCAGTGGAGGCGGTGCACCAATTCATTATTCTCTCTGGCTACACTGTCGACAATTCAAAAACACAGAAAAAGGGGTGGAAGGGAGGGTTCATCTTTTTTTACTCCAAAGTTCACGTTTTGTTGGTCCCAAGCAAAAACATAGCCTAACAATTATGTAATTAGATTTTTTGTGCAGATTTTTTGCCTTTTTTGTTTGTTTATTTTGTGTTCACTACCCACAAATAATTTTTAATGACAAAGTAAATGTCCGATTGTGAATCTGAAATTCCGTACAAACCTTTCAAGGACAAATCTTCACTATAGCCGCATATTGGAGCAAACCATCTCTTTTCTTTCTGAAAAGTGTGGTTGTTATTGTTGAACCAAGTGTGCGGGTAAAATGCAAGGAAACATCTCAAAATACTGTAGTTTTTTTAACATTATTTAAAGTCAGTATTCTATGATCAGAAAATAATTATGCTCCGAAGTTTGAGGTCAGTAAGATTTTTTTTATTTTTTGGGGAAAGAAATTAACACTTCTATTCAAGTATGCATCAAATTGATCATAGTGATAGCAAAGACATGTATGATGTTACAAAAGATTTTGGTTTCAAATCAATGCTGTTATTTTGAACTTTTCAAATATGTGGCAGCATATTAAGCAGCACAACTGTTTTCAACATTGATAATAATTATAAGAAATGTTTCTTGAGCAGCAAATCATCATATTACAATGATTTCTGAAGGATCATATGACACTGAAGACTGGAGTAATGATGCTGAAAATTCAGCTTTGACATCACAGGAATAAATAAAAATGTTAAATATATTCAAATAGAATTTTTTTTTTAAATTATAGTAATATTTCACAATATTGCTGTTTTTACTGTATTCTTAATCAAATAAATGCAGCTTTAGTGAGCGTAAGAAATGCTTCTCTCCCAAAAAAATTGTTTTTATTTTTGTGGAAACCACATATTTCAAAAGTTCAAAAGAACAGCATTTACAGTGTTGCCTTCCATTTTAATACTTTTGCAGTATTACTTTTTTTTTAATTATTTTTTTTTAAATCTTACCAAGCCCAAATTTGTGAACGATAGTCAAAAGCTGCTGCTAATTTATTGATTTGCAAGGTTTGCTGTACGAAAAGCACCACCTACGTATTTCACTGATCTTTAGGTTCATGTAAAATTATTTTTTATGCCTTAATGTGTCTTTGTCCTTCTCTATAGGTGCACATTTCGATTTCCCAGCACAGTGATAAAGATTCAGTTTACAGTGCTCTACCACAAGGAGACACAGAAGGAGGAGGCTCCTGTATCCCCTGTGAGACCCCTTTACCCACAAATATCTCCGCTGAAAATCAGCATTCCTGAAAATGACTTCAGAAGTATGATGAGTCCCCTGCCTTCGCCGACTGGAACTATCAGGTATGACTTCGTCCGAACGGCCACACAGAGAAAACAATTGTGGTAACACTTTAGTTTAGGGTCCAATTCTCACCGTTAACTGGTTGCTTATTAGCTTGCATATAGGATATTGGCTGTTGATTAAGTCATCTCAAGTCACCTTTATTTATATAGCGCTTTTTAACAATACAGATTGTATCAAAGCAGCTTTACAGTGATAACAGGAAAATAATTCAACAAAGTTTGTTTCTGCTTTATAGCAGATCTAGAAGAAAATAACGTCATAGTCCAGCTTAAGTAAGTTCAGTGATGGTTTATTTTTGTTGTAAAAAAGTTAATTTACTTCATTTATTTATATATAGCCGCTCTGGAGAAAACAGTGATACCAACGTTCAGTTCTCATATAATGGTGTCAATGCAGGCAGATTAATAATATTGTTGAATATTAAGTGTCCCCAACTTAGCAAGACAAAAGCCAAGGCAACAGTGGCAAGGAACCAAAACTCCATCAGGTGACAGAATGGAGAAAAAAACCTTGGGAGAACCCAGACTCAGTCGGGGGCCAGTTCTCCTCTGGCCAACGAGCGAACAGTGTATGATTATGATTCAGGCAGCATTACAGGTCAGAAGTCAGATTGGATCAGAACATTCAGAATATTTATCCAGGTTCATCTGGCTGAAGATCACACCGGTATGAAGACGGGTTTATTATGAACAAGTACTTATTAAGCCCATATTAATGCCTTATTCTGCATGAACATATCCTACATCCCTTAATCCTACTCAATACCTAAAATTAAGAACTACCATACTAACTATTAATAAGCAGTAATTGGGAGTTTATTGAGGCAAAAGTTGTAGTTAATAGTTAGTAAATAGTGAGAATTGGAAAACTAAAGTATAGTTTCATTAGAGAACCAGTTCTTTTCCAGATCTTTTTGAAAGTAATTTTTGTTCTCATCTTGTCTTCTGCATAGAAATGAAAACATGAGCGAAAATGTACAGCACCTAATGTATTTGGTGAAATACATATGCAAAAATATGACATTTTAAAAAGACTACAGAAAAATAGGTTTTGCATATTCGTATTATTATGTCAGTCAATTTAAGCAAAAGTCACATTTCAATATGTTTCCAGAGTGCATTCCTGTATTTGCACTGAAGCATCAGAATTTGCATGCAAAAGGAGATGCTTGATTTTGATTTTGAAGCTGCCTGCTTCATTGTGTATCTAGTAGATACAATAGTGGTAGGAAAAGCCTGCCCCTGGCGGCCTCTCCGCTCTTCTGCACCACGTGTGGCTCTCAAAGCAAGCATGCTGTGTCCACATACCATATATGGCATGTGCTGAGCTTGGAGCTCCCTGATTGGTCGGTCGTAAAGTGTTGTGGTTTGGTGTTTTGAGCCACAGATAGTTTCCTTTTTCCGAGGCCTCCAAACACCCCCCTCATCCCACTCCTTGGCCTGCTCCTACACCCAACACAAACAGACACATGCTTTCTGTCCTTCCTGATTCCTCTTCCCTTACTGGGGGGAATATTTCCTTCTATTCAGCTCTACAAGCATTGGAACTGGTTATCCACGTCTGAGCTGCAGTTTCTACTGTAATATTTTTCTCTTGTAAGTTTCAGTCTGTGTGTAGTGATGGATTAGGGACATTTCCCAGATTGTCAGCCTGCTGCTCAAACAGCAGATGTGTGTAAAGCTTTGAATCCCAGACACATGGAGCTGCTTGAACAACTGCCATGTACAGTACAACCAGCAATACCAGCTCCTTTGCACATTTTTTCTTTATGCTTCAGAATCATTTGGGTAAGGCGATAGCACTTTACAATAAGGTTCCATTTGTTAACAACAGTTATTGCATTAGGTATCATGAACTAACAACTATTTTTACTGCATTTATTACTCTGTTAATGTTATAAATATACTATTGTTTTTTAAAATTACGTTTGTTCACAATACATTAATTATTGTTATTTTACTAAAAAATAAAATGTCCAACAGAAATCTTTCTAATAAGAAACGCGTCCTATTATTATCATGTCATTTTAATGTAAAAGTCTTTACAGTCACTTCTTACTCCATTGATTAATTTATTGAATCCTTTCTGAATAAATGTATTAATTTTTCTTTTTCTTGTTAAATCTCACTGACCTGAAACTTTTGAATGGTAGTGTAGATGATAGAAATTAACAATAACCTAGATAAACAAATGCTGAAAAAGTATTTGTCATTCTTAGTTCATCTTACATAATGCATTAAATAATTGAATAAATTGACTAATAAAATTAATCAAACTAAAAGTTGGCTAGAATTTGTGTTGGATCATTTTTTGATTCAGAAAAGATGTCTGTTAGTTTAGTGAGTAAATTATCAATTGGTTAAATAGTTGTCCTCTGTAAATCATTACTGCACATGACCCTTTGGAATCATGTGGCTTACCAACCTCATTGTTTATACTACAATGTGTTTTGAATTTAAGTACCCCTAAATTTGGCGGATTGTTATTACTTTTAATATAAATGCATTGCGTAAAGTAATGAAAAATGATGCAAAACATTTCAGTTAGTTCATCACAACAAACTTAGTAACTGGTCAGTTCTGTTTTGGACAGCAGGAAAAAAACAATGCTAAATGCAAATAATAAATGTGGTTGCCGATATTAATATTTATTTTAAACTTATTCATTTATTTAATAATATATTAATCTTGATAATGTTAAAACTATTCAGTGATTGATTTTAAAGGTACACTGTAACTTTTGGCCCTCTAGCGCATGCGAAACAAAACTGCATGCATTTTGTGGAAGAACATTGTTTTGGTTGTGCTTCATCTCTGCGTTAAGGCCTGTTCACACCGGGAGGAATTTCGCGTGCGTTATTCGCCGACGTTTAACTCCTCGTGACTAAACAAAGGGCGCCTATGTGAGTGTGCACACCGACGCGTAAAACGCCACGCGTAAAAGCGTCATTTTTTTTAAAAACGCCTCGGGTTTGTTTTTTTGGTTTGACGTGCCGCGTCAAAAACTATCCGACCAATGAGATTGGCGCTTTTGCTAACGTGTCTGGAGCTTCTGAATTTACAGTGAAACACAACTTGGGGGCGCTCAAACACAAAACGGTCTTGCCGAGCACACATACGTAATGGCGAAGCGTCTACACTCTGCCGGGAAGAAATAAGACGAGGAAGATGCAAGGCTAGATGAATGTAGAGCTGCTGTTCTTGTTGGTGTCTTTATAAAGAGACACCAACGACAATAAAGAACTATATGACAAACGCGACAAACTTGCTCTCTTCTTCTGAGTGACAAGCGAGTGTCAGAAGCGTAGTTGCGCAGCGCCACTTTGTGGACCGGGGTATTTCTGTTTTACATTAAGCGCCATCTAATGTCAGGGAATGAATTTGCATGTTCACTCGGCTCATCGTCAGCGAAAATCGCTTGGGTGTGAACACAAAAAACGCGTTGAAAAACGCTGACGAATAACGCAAGCCGATATTCGTCCCGGTGTGTACGAGGCTTTAGCCTGGTTAAAACCAGACCATTCTCAGTTGTAACTGAGTTATGGTCTGGCAAAGCGTCATAGACAAATCATTTCCAGAGGGGCGTCACTAACGGACGTCGCGGATAGACCTAAACCCAATCAGAGCGATGAAGGAGATGACGTATGCAGAGCGGCAGAAACATCTCCGAGTGTTGTTCTTTGCTCGGTTTTTAACAAAAAGGAAACGTTCAAATCGCTTAAAACAGACGCGATAGCTGATTCGAACGAGTGATGTTCACCGGCAGCATCCATCTTTGTAATGTAGGCTAAAATCTGCTTCAAAATCCCAGTGCTGTCGTCATCGTGTAAAGCCCGTCCCAACGTTTCTGATTGGTTCCTCGATTTTGACGGATTGGAAATGGGCTTGAATGAGCTCTTTGCCAGACTAACTTTCAGAGCAAATCTAAATATGCCGGAAGTTGTCTGGGTTTTCCCAGGCTATCTCTGCGTGACTGTGTATTAATACCACTCTTTACAAAAGATAATGCTTTGCCATATGTAGCTCTCTAACAGAGTTCATTGTAATTTATCTGTTTAATAAAATACCTTACTCTAGCCTGGGTTTCCCCATACTGCCTTTGCGCAGCACGATTTTACTCACGCTGCTAGGTAGTCTGGATACCATGGACCAAATTTTCGCCTCAGCGAGGGGACCAATCACAGAACGGGGAGGGAGCAGCAAGACGATGACGACGTCTATGCGACACACCGAAGCAGTTTGTTTATACCTATGGATCAAACATGGCAGCAGACGTGAAGTTACCTTTCGATGCTGCCTTGGATATTGTTCTAAGTAGTTTAGTACGCAAATAAATCTCTGACCCATCGTCTTCTTCCTCGTCTAATTTCTTTCGCTCTACATACGTCATCTGGTTTAATTGAAACGATTGGCTATGAGCTACGTACAGGCGCACTTGATAGACATTCGTAGCACCCAATAAACGGCTCTGGGCATTCGTAAACCACGCCTCAAATACGAGAAAATGAACATGTGGTTTCCAGACCACGTCTCAATGTCAATGAGACATGGTCTGCCGTTAGCCAGGCTAACCTTACTCGGCTGTTGAGTAACAAAAACCCCATCTCCGCGTTGCTTTCAAATCCCTCAGTTTCCGCCATCTCCGTAAAGCCAAGGCAATGTTGATTCTTGTTTTATTACGAGCTTTGTCGCGTTCTCTGTTTCCCAGCAGACTCTCCACTGTTAGCTGTTTTTTTTAAACTGGCGATTCCCCGGAGGTTCGAGGTTATAGCTGCTCCATGTCAATCTTTCTCACTCGTTGTGACCGCTAACCTATCTCACTCCCACACCATACACACGTCAAAGTAGCTGGAGCAACTTTTCTCTATTTATATAAACGATGAGACATGCATGGGCGAGTGACGCATGTACGCAATTTCCTGTGAAAATCATCCTGCCAGTCTAATTATAATCACTTATAATAGGCTTACCATAGTGAATCAGGGTAAGACAAAAACACGTTTTGGAAAAAGGATTGATGTTTTGACTCATTATTAAAAATGTGTTAATTTTGTACAAAAATACCTTTAAAAGTGTACATTTAAAAGGACATTTGGTTAACTTTTGTGTCATAATCAAGTTTGGTACTATGATGTATCACCATTTGATACTAAATGTAAAACCGGAGTTATTTTATTTTGATCCCATTAGGATCCTTTGGGATTTTTATTTTTTTCTAATTTAGGATTTAAATCCAAATAGGAATCCTGTACACATTCCTTTAGATTTTTAACTAGGACAAACATTTTGCCTTTGAATTATTATTTAAAAAATTATTTTTACATATTTGTAATCCATTTTTAGTACAGAAGTTTCATTGTGAAGTCTCTGTGGAAGAGGTGTTAGTTGTCTTTTTGCTTGTCCTTAAGGTGTTTTTGTAATACGGTCTGGCTGTTGTGAAAATGCTGCCTCAGGACTGGACTTCAACCCAAAGCTCCCTGCCCGCTGTGCCCTCACACACACACACACACACACACACACACAATTGCCTTCCCCATGCCGCTCAGAGAGGCCTGTTTGTCTCTGCCCGCACAACACAATGGAGCCTGCAGCACAACAGCCTTATCTGAGCACTCTGTTGTGCCCTGCTGTCAGAAAGCCAGCGATAAAAAATAACACAGCGGGTGAAGGAATGGTGGGGTGTGTCTGCGTTATGGGAGACTTACTGATATGTTGACAATAAACGAAAGCCTTAAAATAGCACTGCTCAGGATGTCTTTCTGTCAGTTTCAGCCTAAATGATACAGTTATTATCATTACAATTCGGAAACCCTGTGGCTAATGGCTCAGTAATTGTTTTGCTTGTTTATCTGAATGGTTTGTTTTTTAGGGCTCAGGGCCACCTACTGGCACATTGTTTTTCATGTCAGGTGCATAACAAGGGTTATAAAATGGATTATAATGTTGTGGGTTATTTTCAGCATGTAATCTGCTGTCAGTTACCACAGGCAATCATGAACAACAAACAGGAAACATGTTTAAAGTAACACACGCAATTAATACACATAAAATGGAGCCAGAAGGCAAGCGAGCAGGAGAGTTGAAAACATAGACTGCAAAAAAAAGATTGGTTGAAAAGCAGAAACTTTTATGCTTGGATTTTTGCACAAAATTGACTTGAGCCGAAGTGTTCTAGATGGATGTGGTTCTTCTGGTTGTATTTTACTACTTTATGCAAACAGTGCTTAATGAATAACTATGTATAGAAATTGGCAATATATTAGGACCATGTTAGTCGATATCAGGTGTGTTCTGAATATTTATTGCTCTATTCTATTGGATATGTACTTGTGGATGCTCTTTTTTGTTTTTGTTTTATAGTGCATCCTCGTCACATCCCTTCATTGTCCTGATACTTCTGCATATATTACCTAGTGAAAGTAACCAGGTTTACTTTTCAGCTGGTCATGACATAAGTTTACATAAGTATAATTTTGTTTATTTTGGTTGTGAAACTGCCATTCATGACTTTTTTTCTTTTTTTTTAAAAAGAAACTAATACTTTTATTCAGCAATGCATTAAAATACATTTTAGTAAGATAAAAAAGTTGTTTTCAATTGTAATAATATTTTACTGTTTTACTGTATTTTTGATCAATTAAATGCACTAAATTGCTTATAAACCTAAACATTTAAACTGGAATGGACTTTGTCACATTTTTTCCAGGGTTCTCAGGAGCAAAAGTCAGAGTTGGCTATACTTCTATAGTGGTGAACGAAAACTACAACAAATATATTTTTGTGCATTACCATTTGCTCCAAGAGCAAAAGGGGGGGAAAAAATCATGATAGCGTTTGTAAGACTTGCCAAAACAGGAAAAAAAATATCGAGAGATTGCTTACAGTGGTCAGAAGAGAGAAAGATGTCAAATCCTTCAGCTGTTGTGTTAGAAACACCTGCACATCAGCCTCAACAAGTTAATATAAAACAAGGTATAGTGTAATAAATGTACATTACATTTAAAAAATATATATATATATAAATATAAAAACTTTTCTAGATTTACGATGCTATTAACTGTGGAAACGCTTCATCAGTCTGTGAAAAGGTTCTATATAATCTTAATCAGAAGCATTCCTTAAATCTCTGAAACAGTCTTCTTGGCCTGTTTAATAAATGATGTCTTCACACCTTTCTGTCCATTCTTTCTCTACTTAGCGTTCCCAATTCCTGCCCAGCGAGCCCTCGGGGCGCAGGTTCTTCGGGATACCGCTACGGCCGCAACATCACATCAGATCTCCAGCTGGCAGCTGAGTTTGCTGCCAAGGCTGTGTCAGAACAGCGCACTGAAGCCACGGGAGGAGACAGTCCTAAGGTAAGAGCCTCCAGCATCCCAATGCATGTCAATCATGGTCAGTATGTTTGTTCCCAAGATTAACTGTCCACTCTTCCTTCAGGATGAGTCCAAACCTCCATACTCGTACGCTCAGCTGATAGTCCAGGCCATCTCGTCTGCACCGGACAGACAGCTAACACTAAGTGGCATCTACGCTCACATCACCAAGCATTATCCCTACTACAGGACGGCCGACAAGGGCTGGCAGGTCAGTTTATCTGCCAAAATTGTTGTTTGTCTGTCATGTTTGTGTGCTTATTTGTATTCCCTTAATCTCATTTCTCTCCAGAACTCCATTAGACACAACCTGTCTCTCAACCGCTACTTTATTAAAGTGCCGCGCTCACAGGAAGAGCCAGGCAAAGGTTCGTTCTGGCGCGTGGACCCCTCATCAGAGGCCAAGTTGGTGGAGCAGGCCTTCAGAAAGCGTCGGCAGAGAGGGGTGTCCTGCTTCCGCACGCCCTTCGGCCCACTGTCCTCCAGGTGAGATGTCTCAGACCCCCGCTTTTAACCCAGCACGCCCTCCGCCGACCCCCTTATGACACTCGCACTGTCTGATGTAATAGAAGCCTGCTTAGCCTCTTCTGTTTCCCTCTTTCTTCCCCATCTGTCCGTTTCTTCACTGGGCAGAACAAAGTAAGTCTGTTTGAATTTGATCCCTTTCATTCGTCAGCCACTTGGTAAAGCAGCATCAGTTAGACCCAACTTTGTATTTTCTGTTTTTACACACTCTGTAAAAGCTCGCATTAGACTTGGGTCCAAAATGAACTCTAATGCATGATTCAAACATTGGCTGATGTTAGTAACTCAAGTGTGGATATTGTTACCGTTAATGCTGTTAAGCCAGGATAGCAAAAATATGGGGAACAAAATTGCAAAGTTTCAGTGTTTTAGCAAGAAGTACCATTTCACCAAAAGACTGGCTGATGTGGGATCCTACAAGACCTTCATAAAAAAATGTATCGAAGGATCCAAAAACTTTGTCATTAAAGGGATAGTTCACCCAAAACATTTAATTCGGTCATTAATTACTCAACCTAATGTCATTCCAAACACATAAGACTTTATTTCATCTTTGGAAAACAAATGAAGATCTTTTTGGTGATATCTGAGAGCTCTGCCTTTCTGTCCCTCCATTAACAGCTACACAACTGACACTTTGACGCTTCAAAAAGTTTATAAAGAGATCAGAAAACGAATCCATATTAATTGAGCGGTTTAGTCCAAAATTTTCTGAAGGGACTCGATCACTTTATATGATGAACAGATTAAATTTAGGCTTTTATTCACATGTAAACATTGATCAGCGAACCTAAAAAGAAGATCAACCGAACCTGCTTGATGCGCGAGAACAAACCTCTTGCTGAAGCTCAAACGTACTGCGTAACACAAGAAAGAGCTTTATTGGTCTTGCAGAAGCTCAAATGTCAAATATATAAATATAACATGTCTTTACTGTCACTTTTGATATATCACATTATGTAGTTATTGTTGTTTAACATTTCAAATTGTAGAGATTACTGTTAATAGATAATGATGGAACATGAATGAATAATTAGGTATTTAGGGATTAATAAAAAAAATAAAAAAAATGTAACTAATAATTGGATAAATTGTTGTTCATTTATTAGTTCATTATACTTAAGTATAATAATGTTATATTTATACATATTCAATACTAAGTGTTGCCATTCTTGTAACTATGTAATGCAAAAAATTATTTCGTGGTAGTTAATGTGAGACCCTCATTCAAAATCTAATTTCAAATTGATTAGTGAGATGCCACCTTAAAATTTGATCATTACTCAATTATGTTTAGAGGCTGAAATTTTCTTAAAGACGAAGTGTCTCATTCCTGCGCCCCTATTGGCACCAAATGAAATTGCGTCAATAATGAGTGTTTTCAAACAGGGTTCCCAGACATGCTCCCATCCACCATTACTTTGGTCATTATTTGCTAGCGTTGCTTCAAACTCACACTGCTCACATAAACAGAGCTTCACACAAACAAGCTTCACACTGTTTACACTAATTTCTTAAAGTTGTCTCAGTCTGCACGTTTTAAGAAACTAGTTTAACTTCAAAACATTTTTTATATTCAATTCATCCGCCTTTGGCAGGTGAAGCAACAAGTTACTTTTGGACCCTGCATGGCCTGTAACATCTGAACATGTATGCGTTGCATTCACAGTGTGTATGAGAATTAAGGCCCATTCACACCAAGAACTATAACAATAACTATATTAGCATCCACCAAAGCAACGTACAATAACATTCGGTTTATTCTAAGCGTGCGCTGCAGTTTTGTCGTCTGCTCAAGCATTTTAAAATCAGGATGGATTTCGATTGGCTGTCAATCGAAAAAATCGTTCTGAAAGTGATTCCAACGATATCGTTCCTCTGTCGTTATCGTTGTAGTTGCGATGGGGACTCTGCTTTTCTTTTTACTTATAATAATTATTATAACTATATCTTCATTGTGATTGTTATAGCTATCGTCTTTGGTGTGGACGGCCCTTACTGTATGCTATATGTCTGTGTGCATGACTGACAGATCATTGTGTTGGTTTCAGGAGTGCTCCAGCGTCTCCCACCCACTCCGGCCTCCTCTCTCCACACTCGAGCGGCCTCCAGACCCCCGACTGTCTGTCACGGGAAGGATCCCCAGTGTCACATGAGCATGACTTTGGCTCCAAGCTTGCGTCTGTGCCCGAGTACCGATACTCCCAGAGTGCACCAGGTGACCGTGCTTCTTTCATTGCACAGCAGTACTGACTGCCAGTGTTTGGATGTATAGTCTCCAAATAGAAACAATACTAACTTGCCTATATTTTTTTAGTAGTATGATATTAGCTCAGCTGTGGTTAAAATAGTGTAGCTTTTCCTAAATTGTGGAGCTTTTCCTGTAAACAACAAAATGCATTTTTGAACTGCAGAAGTTCAATTACAGTTTGCATAAATAATTATAACTTGTAGTGTAGCTGACTACCATTTATATCTATGCAGTCTTGGCAAGCTTCTGATTCAGAGTCGATTCTCCAGTCCTAAATGTATTTTCTCTGACTCTCTGGTGATTCCTCTTGTCTCTCAGGCTCTCCAGTGAGCGCCCATCCTGTAATCATGGCCGTACCATCTCAGTCCTCAGCCGCCATCCCCAAGCCTGTGACTTACATGCCGGCCTCCATCATTAGCTCCTCCCAGGCCTCTGGTCAGGCCATCCATGTGGTGCAGCAGGCGCCAGCTGTCACCATGGTCCGTGTAGTGACCACCTCTACCAGCTCCCCCAATGGCTACATCCTGGCTAACACCACCTCAAGCTCAGGAGAGGGACCTGGAGATCAAAGAGGTAAAACAACCCATTTCTTCTTGTTTTATCACAGAGCAGTTTTTGGCTAAATCTGTTGGAATGCCTAGTATTGTCTTCAAATTTGCACTCTGTGTGAATAGGCCTTAATTGTCTCTCTGTTAATCTTCTGTGTATGTAGTGGATGAGATGCCTATGGTTGGCAGTAGAGTTATTCAGGCTGTAGGGAGTCACATAAGCTCGGCCAATAGGGGGCAGCAGAGCTACACTGTTGTCCAGCAGAGCGCCATTCACCACCTTCCTGTGCAGACCATTTCTCAGAATGGCAAACATGCTCTTCCTATCAGCAGTGTACCAACCAGTGCTTACGGTATGTGTGCGTAGTGTGTGTCCTTTCACTGTTCTGAAGCTGGTCTTGTGCTTTACTGATATGATTTGCCAATATCTGCATGACATTTTTCTAACTTGTTTTAAATAAATGGATCATGATAAATGTAATAATTAATTAATTGATTAAAAACGCATAATGCAATTCATGCATGTAATGCTTTAAATACAATTTTCTATTTTAAGCTTGTTTTAATTGCATAATTAATTTAATTGGATTTTTATATTATTTTTGATGGGAGCAGAATATAACTCTTCTTATATTCTTTAAAAAAACTGCTTATATATATATAATTTCTTTTTTAAGTCTAGGGTTTACAGTATTTTTAACTAAAACTAAACAAAAATCATAAATATAATGAACATTAACTGAAATAAAATGAAATAGAAAAAACTTTATATATATATATATATATATATATATTATTTTCTATTTATTTATATATATATATATATATATATATAAAAAAAAAAAATATCAGCTAGTAACTAACTAAACTAAAACTAAAAACTAAAAAAAATCCTAAAACTTTTACTAATATAAAAATGAAAACAGAAAATATAAAAATAAATATCGAATTCAAAATATTTGTTTATAAGTGATACTAAAATAATACTGCCACCAAACCCAAAGTCATGTGGTGTGACCAACATGCAGGAAGAAAACAAACCCATAAAACAAGAAATTATTGCAGACCCTCATTACTGTGTGCCAAGGTAAATACGTCTCTTAAAACATAAATATTTGGTTAATTGTATAATTTTGTTATTTACTTCTTGTACTCACCAAGAAGATAGCCATGCTTCTGAAATGGTTAACAGACGTTAAACAATAATAAATAAATACTGATTGATTGTGATGAACTACAAATGTTTTGTTACTTTTAACTTGATGGTTATTAAACATTTGAATACAAATAGTACATGTCTAGGAACTTGGCACATGTTTTAAACTGCTTTATTTTAGACCCTATTGCTTGTCATTGACCTGTAACCTATTCTCTGTGTTGTCATCTCTATCCCCTCAGCCCTTACCAATCCTCTTCAGATCTTGGCTGCCCAGGCTTCAACATCCCCACCTGTGCTGGTCAACAGGCCCTCCAGCATGGAAACCAACGAGTCCAGCATCAACGAGCCCGAGCTCAAACGGCCCAAAATGGAGGAGGACAGTGTCGCTCCAGTCCCTCAGCCTGTTATTGTTGCAATGAACCAAGAGGCCAGTGAATGAATAAGTGAGTGAACGAGTGAGCCAATGACGGATCATTAAACCACATCTCACAATATCGTTAAACATATTGAGGGAAACGTGTTTGGTTTTCTTTAAAACGAGAACTTCAAAGTTTTGTAAACGCCCGACACGGGTAACTGATCGAATGTCTTTGTAAGAAGAGGTTTAAGCGTCTTTGTATCATGGGGGTTAATTCATTGATCTACATCTGGCAGCATTAAAATTCAATGCTCACAGTTTTAAATTTGTAGGGGTTTTTAATCTTGTAAGAATGTTTGAAAGAAGTATGAAGAGAGGTACATGTGCTTAAAGACACCAGCTAGGCATGTGCGCCCAGGTAGTTCCTCACAAGGTACATCTGAGAGAGAGAGTTCTTCTTTTCAGGATGGGGTGGGACCAATACCTATGCAGCTATTACAGTCTGAGACCATGAGTCTCTCTGAATTGAAACAGTATATAAAAAGGGTCACATAAAGCTGTGCGTCACTGCAGTTACCTGTGTGGCCTGTGTGAGGATTTATTTATCTCTGTTAAAATAAAAGACTATCTTTAATGAAATAATATGTTAATACTCAAAGCACACAGTAGACCACAAGAAATGAATAGATAAGATAGAGGCCTTTTCTAGCTGGAGATCTTTAACCTACATTATTATTCTGGGGAGGATTCTTACCTTGCTTGCTTACTACAAAGAGACATGTCTAGAAAAATGCTTATTTCTTAATTGGTCTGTGTTTAGCGGAAAAATTAAAAAGAACTCAATGAATGTAAGTAGCGTTTGTTTATTTGTTCGTGGCACCCACTTTTGACCTAAACTATATATTAGACCATTAGAATGTCTTTGTAGATACATTTTTGATGTTCTGTTATAAAAACAAATTGAATAACTGTTTGAAGTTCATCGCAGTCGTATTGGTCAATCCCCATTAGCACTTGGCCAAAAGAAATCCTGATTGCATCGATGGATGAATGCAAGCACATGATACCAAATGCTTTTCCAGACCCAGGAATGTAACTGTTGCAGAGGCTGTTTCTTCACTGACTTTCTGTGATCCCTTAATAATCACAGAAGCCACTAAATGAATGTTAAGTATTTTTCTGAGAGTTCAAGAAACCTATTTTTTAGGAATATACACAATGTCAGCCTTTAATGAGACTTTCTAGTTTTACTAAGAGAAGAGTAAATATATATTGTTGAAGTTATTAAAATGTGCTTTCAAGACAATCACTAACAGGATTCAGTTCAGAAACCGCTTTGTATGTTGCAAATTATACACACCACAAATGTGCAGTGAAGTACCCTAGAGTACTTGAAGTGAGCCACTGTGTGTATGCTAACGTAGTCGTACAGTGACAGCCGTACCTTTTGTAGTAGAAATCGAAACTTCAACAGACCAAATACATATCCTCATTATTAGTGCCTTAGTGCTCAGGACTAACTAAAAATCATTGTGATGTACTACTTAAAGACAACTTCATCAAACTTGCCTACTAATAAGTTAATTCGCAGGTTTGAATGAATGAACACATCTTGCAAGAAAAAATGAACAACGCAGCATCCTGCCTGTGTAACAATGGAGGGATTGTAGAGCCCTAGAAGAACAGATGAGGGTGACTATTCGTGTTGTGACTGGAAGGGACTGAGCAATATGATAAAAGTAGACAGGAAATGAAATCTCGCTGGCATCATTTGCAAGCTTCAAAACTTCTTATAGCTCAGCTGAGAAATGCATAAATCAAGAGGAATCTGACAGTAAAAAAGGTCTTTTGGAGGTTTTAAAAGCATCAAAAGAACATTTGGATTCCAACAATGCAGATATCAATGTAAAAAATATAGAGATTGGACCTAGTTGATTAGATGTTACCCTTTGTTTCATGTCATCACAATGTGGGCTACAATAAACAAAATTAATGAGAGAACCACTATTCCATTTGAAGTATACGTTTATTTGAAACAAAAGAATATGTCCTTCATGACTGGCCTGTATGCTTTTTTTTTTCTTTCTTTCTTAAATTCATTTGAGATCATTATGGAATAACCAATGGAATGGTGAAACAAACATTGTCATTGTTAACACAATCAACGTACAGAATTAGCTGTCACTGCCTAAATGTTTTTCATTCAAAAAATTAACAATCTGCCACAGTGTCTGTACGTATATATAACCATGGAGTATTTTTATCACAAAGATATTCTGATTTTTTAATTATTATTCCTTTTTGTGCTTGTTTTGTTCTGTTCATTGCTATTTGCATATGCAAGTGTTTATACACTAAACATGTCTAATTTAAACTGTTTCCTTTCTTTTTTCAAACAAGTTGAAAGATATAATCTGTTTCCACTGTACACAAAACACCCCTTAAATCCCCCTGCTTTATGAGATCTTGCCATACATCTGTGAATGTCCACTGGTTTGTCTTTTAATGTGTATTTAACTACACAATGTGTATGAGGGCTTTTCTTCTGTCCATGCAGTTTATGCAATGGTGTACCTGGAATTAATAAAAAATACTTCACTGGCTAATCTTTTAAATGAATCTGTGATCATGACATCTTGTGTCTCGATTCCATGGATGAAGGTTTAAGCCTTGCAATGTATCTTTGCCCCTGCCTTTGTTTCTTTTATCATTCATGTAATTTATTTTCAAACAGTGAAATCTTACCATCTTTAATATATGCTGGGTACTTTGCTTGTTTCTGTGTCCACAATTTTCTTTCCGGGTTTTTTTTTTTTTTTTTGCATTAACACTCTCTTTATAACCCTGTGCAACTCTGTCCTGTCTTTGTCTGAGCAGAAGTTTTGAAAATCCAGTTAACAACAAACTATTAAAAAATATGAGCTACAAAGTTTCAGCTGCAGCCTGCTTGCGCATGTAATGATGATCTCTGGCACTGGTTTATATATATTTTTTAAAAGCAGTAGGTATGAATTTTATAGCTTGCCATTGACTAATTACAGCTTTGATTTTTACTGCATCCAAGAAGTTTGTATGAGAAAGTGCACATTTAAAAAAAAAGAAAATTGTTGCTGGTGTATCAGATCTTGTATTTAAAATATTTAAATGAATGTTACTGAATGATTGAAGGTATCTTGTAATGTAACTCCTCACTGGACACTGGCTTTATTCATTTAGTCAGACTTGGTGGATTTTTATTTTTACACATAAAATTTGAATTCCTTAGTTTAACTCTAATAACAATCTGTTTTACTGTTTAAAGTATTGTGCATTGACACGCAATGCTTTTCTCGGCTAGGATTATATTGTGTTTTATGTTGTGTTTGTTTTTATTTTTATATAGTGTAGTTCGCCCTTTTGTAATGTAGTTAAATGTTAAGTGTATATGCCTAGTATATTTCCATTTGTTGTTGTAGAGAAGGTGGTAGGTAAATATTTTTTTTTCTTTTTTACATTACTGTAAAATATTCATATATTAGTACCATGTACAACCATTGGGGACTTGGAGAATACATGCATTAAATCTATTAAAGAACATTTCAAAATACACTCTTTGCCTTCTTTGCATTAGCTAAGTTTGCTTCGAAGTGATTTACAGGTTGATCGTGTAGTGCTCGCCTTAATTTAATACATTCTAATTATATGGACGTGGTTAGGTATATAAAGTGAATATGTATTTTACCAGCTAATGGCCGGTGGTACAAAATCATGGGTAGTCGTATGTGGTCGGCGACAAAATAATGTAACAAACATATAATCTAGCGGAAATATACAGTATTATATACCATTTATTTGTATATGTATGCTGTTTGGAGTTAGTGTGTTTGTGTTTAACAATGATAATGCCTGTTTATTTACTTGAAGATGTTTAAAAATATAGGTCATAAAAACTACAAACAGTGTAAACGCTAGGTTACGTTTGTTACACTATTTTGTCACCGACTGGCAAAAGGAACCATATATCTACCGAGAGATCAAAATATTCTACCCAGATGTTTTTGTACCCATATAATATTCTACTAATGAATATGAAAGTCTAATCACAATATGAATAATTCTACCACCCCCTTTGTTAAACTTTTTCAAGGCCGACTTACGCGTAAAAGAGGAACCAATTGTTGTCATGTGATTTGCTATCAGGACATCATAGCTGACGGAGCGAATGTTTTGATTATTGTTTTGGGTTTTGACATGTAACGTAAATTGTATTTGTATTGCCCTCAAGATGTATGCTGCCGCGACGGAGAGTTTAATAAAGCAGGCGAGGTAACGTTAAACCTATATGTTTAAGTAAAACGTTTTCTGTCAAAAGCTGTATTGGTCACATGGCTGGATTGGAACCTTTCTAATTTAGACAAGTTCCTCACTTAAATCAATATACCTTTCAGAGAAATTAAGGAGGAAGAGCTGCAGAGATTTTGCGGGCGCATATTTAAGCTCCTCCACACTAAAGACGTTAGTGGAGACACCGTGGACACCCTCCAGAGGCTCCATCTGATAGTTTCTGCCACTAAACATGCCAGAGAGTAAGTCATATTAAACTAAAATACATCTGAACAGCACGTGGGCATGAAACCATTTGTCTGACCCTTCAAAAGTGTACCAGAAAGGTGTATTTCAGGACATTATAAGTGAATAATTGAAGACCTCCTCCATTACTATCAGGCTTCCATCAGATCTGGTGATGAAGCTGCAGACTGTTCTTCGCTCTTCATCGAGTCCTGAGCAGCTTCAGGTTCTGTCCTCCTCCATCATACGGCAGAGTTTTCCTCCCAGCGTGCACAGCCTCTGCTCTGATCTCAGTCAGGACAGCAGGACCTTTAGCTATGTGGCCAGTGTTGTTCTCTCTCAGGTGAATCACAGGCTGTTTATGTTCAGCTTGTGTATTGATAATGATTGCACACGTAACTAAATCTCATTTTTCGCAGGCTGGAAATAAAGAAGATGTGATCCCCCTTTGCCACCATCTGCTGAAAAGTCTCGAGTCTCGGCTGTCTGACGGGCTGATATCTAAGCATGCTCTTCCCATTCTCTCTGAAATGATTACTGTTTATCCAGACGTTCTCACAGATGGTAAAGTCAAACACATTCATGAAATGCCATACTATAGTGGGTCATTAGGAATTACAGTGGGGTCCAAAAGTAAAACATAATGAAAACACAAGATTAAATAAAATATTGTTTCATAGTTTTATTAATGCAAATGTTTACTTTAATTTTAAATTAAATAGGCTATTTAATTTAATGCAAAGTCTGTTTTGCATTTTTAAATTTGAATACAAATTATGTTATCAGCATAACATTTTGAGTTAGGAGTTAAACTGAAAAATGATCATTTCTGAATGTCTCAGTATTTGCATTAAAGTCAGCATGAAACGGAAGTTGGGATAGTCTTTTCTTCCCTATTGTGACATACTGTATATCCGAGTGAAGCGGCTGCTTCCCGAACGAGAAAAAATGTAGGTTGGGACTTGACATGATTGGCTGGTTGAAGTTTTCTATTGATGTCATGTTCTCCCGCCCTCATGCCAGTAAACACATCATCAGAGAAGAGAAGAGATGTCACTGCTAGAGGGAGGGGAAGTTAATTTGATTATGAAGATTACAAGGGCACATGAACTAAAAAAAAATAGAATGTGCATGATAAATCATTTAAAATAAACACTGCAATATTCCATAAAAAAAAAAAAAGAATGTTCATGGTGATTTTAATAAATGTCCAGAATGTTAAACATTTTTTAGTATCTTAATGTTTCAAATTTAGAATACTAAAACTTTTATTTTTAATGTATTTTAGATAGTACTTTGAATCCAAGATTTGTAAAGATGCTAACATGAATTATGTGGTCACTAAACCCAGATCAGGTGAATCTGGTCAGTCGCAAGGCGGTGGATTGGTTGCGTTATGCCAGCATGCAGCAGGGAGCCTCCATGTCTTCTGGGGGATTTTTCAGTGGACCAAGAGCACGTCAGGTGGGGCATGTTGCTTTTCCTCATTCACCAATACATGCACCATCAGCCAATAAGCTCAAGTTTATAATGATAATGTTGAGTGATCTCAGTGAACTGATCGACATCTCTTCATCAGCCAGCTCCACTGATGGAGGTGGATGGGGTGGTAACGGGCGACTTCTTCACTGTGCTGTGTGTGGGTCAGAGCTACACCGAGGACCAGTGGATGAACATGTACACTTTCTCTATGATCAAGGGTTGGCTGCTCACTTACGACGCAGACGGGACTACAAACACAGAATCAGGTACAGAAGTCTGAACAGAGACATTGTGGGCAGGCATGGTAGAAGTTGTGGTTTTGTTTTATATACTATTATTATAGTAGTGTTTATTAATATTTTGGATTAGCTTTTATTTTTATATTTTCAGTTGAATTTTTGTTCAAGTAGTTGGTAACACTTTACAATAAGGTCTCATTTGTTAACATTAATTAATGCATTAACTAACATGAACTAATCCATACTTTTACAGCATTTAGTAACCTAAACAGTTTTCATGTGTGTTCACTGTACATTAACAGATACAACTTTTGATTTGAATAATGTATTAGTAAATCCTGAGATTTACACTTGATAAATGCTGTAGAGAGAGAGAGAGAGAGAGAGAGAAATGCCCCAAAACGATTTGAACAATGTCTACATTGTTTACGAATTGTCCCATCATGTCGGATATATACTTCATTTCATGTAGTTAAGATGAGTAACATGGGATTTTCATCTTTGCTAGCTCCACTAAAAAGAGCACAGGTCATTCAGTCACAGCACCAAGGTAAGATGCAAGTGAAAAGCCTGATATGATCAATCTGCTTCCTGCGCAATCAGAAACTCCCTTTACTGAATGAAATTGCTGCAATCAGAATAAACAAACTCTCCTATTCCTAAAATTTTGGGGGGGAACAATGATCCATAATTAATTGCTGTATGTATCAAATTGATTTTGAGTCTATGGCTATGTTTGGAATGAAATACTAGCTTACTACTGCATACTGTTGTGTGTATATACTGTATACAGCCAATTATTTTTATAAAATAGTACATGAAACGGTATGCAGCCATACACGTTTCATGCTACGCTGTTGTCACATGACCTCACCATGTTTTCTTCTGTGTGTGGCATCCATTTAATCTCTGAAAAATAAAAAGCCTGTGTCTAAAATCTTATACTCTCAGAGTAGTCGTCCGGGTACTTTTTGCTTACTGTTACGTAAATACTGTGAATTCTTACTCTTTCACTTCTCTTTTCTTTAACAATTTATTTTGTATTTAGTATCTAATCCAATTTTGTGTAATAATATCTTTATTTTTAGCAATGAGAATTCCACACTGTGTGCTCTGGTTGTTTATACTGCACATTTTATAGTAAGTCATAAGGGTATTCAGAAAATGTGCACACTATACTACCAAAATAGTAGTATTGTAGTATGCCGTTCCAAAGATAGCCTGCACGTCCTGTCATACGCTCACCCCTTCAATGGCATTCGATCCCGCCGGATAAGGTGCTTGATGGAGTCGTGCTCTGGGTGTTGTAGTGTAACGTGCTGTGCTGTTGATGTAGA